TGTATTTGAAAATCTGGTTCAAATTGGCTGAATTAATTATCTGTCAAATTAATGTGCACATGTTAACGGGATGACTTTTTTTCTTTGCAGAAAATGGAAAATGACATTTTGGAAGGCTATTGCAATATAATAAATAAGTACAATAGAACCTAAGAATTATGAACATCAGAGAGAGAGGAACTGATTAGAAGTACAGGCAGTCCCCGGGGAGGAACAGATTAGAAGTACAGGCAGTCCCCGGGTTACGTACAAGATAGGAACTATAGGTTTGTTCTTCAGTTGAATTTGTACGTAACTCGGAACTGGCTCCAGATTCAGCCGCTGTTGAAACTGATCAGTGGCTGATTCCAGGAAGCTGGGGGCAGAGCAACTCTGCCTCGGGCTTCCTGTAGTCAGCCTCTGGTCAATTTCAGCAGCAGCGGCTGAATCTGGAGCCCGGGACAGAACAGCTGGGGCGCTGCCGGGTAGGTCCCCCCAGGACCAACCCGGCAGCCCCCCAGCTGCTCTCCCCCAGGCGTCCACAACAAAAGCCTGGTCTGCTGGGGACCCCCCCAGCAGACCAGGGAGACCTGGAGCAAAGCCGCAGAGGCGGCAGGGTCCCGCGCCTCCAAGGCTTTGCTCGGGGGGTCCCTGGGCTGCTGGGGACCACCCCAGCAGACCAGGGAGACCTGGAGCAAAGCCGCAGAGGCGGCAGGGTCCCGCGCCTCCAAGGCTTTGCTCGGGGGGTCCCTGGGCTGCTGGGGACCACCCCAGCAGACCAGGGAGACCCGGAGCAAAGCCACAGAGGGGGCGGGGCCGCCTCCAAGGCTTTGCTCGGGGTGTCCCTGGTCTGCTGGGGACCACCCCAGCAGACCAGGGACACCCGGAGCAGCTTTTCTCACCCCGGAGGACGCGTAACTCGGGGACTGCGTGTACACAATCAGGAAGCAGGACAGACCAAAAAAGAGAAAAAAGAAAGAAAATATAGTACAGTACCGATGTTAAATGTAAGTTGCTAATAAAATTAAGAGGACATTAAAAAGAAGATTTGATCAGGTGAGGAAACTGTTTCTGCGCTTTTTTCATTTAAATTCAAATGGTTAAGAAAAGTGTTTTTCTTTGGCATAGTAAAGTTAAAAAACTGTATTAAGTCAATATTCAGTTGCAAACTTTTGGAAGTAATACTATAATGTTTCATTCACAGTTACAAACATATCAGATTTACAAACAAACAATCTCATTCCCAATGTCTAAAGTTCTAATGTTACTAGTTTCCGTTCTCTTTCCCCCTGGAATTGTTATTTGACATTATTATTTCAGATATGCTGTTGAATAAGCATAATGTTACTCTTTAGGAAACTATCTTGTCAGAGGATAGTGTAGATGAGTGGACAACATGCAAACTGACGAAGCTGGGGGTTCTACCCCTGGTTCTGCTACTGAATGGCTGTATAACCTTGGGCAAACTACTTGGCTGTGTCTACATTGGCACCCCTTTCCGGAAAAGGGATGCTAATGAGACCAGTCGGAATTGCAAATGCCGCGAGGGATATTTAAATCCTCCGCGGCATTTGCAATTCCAACTGGTCTCATTAGCATCCCTTTTCCGGAAAGGGGTGCCAATGTAGACACAGCCCTTGAGTTTTCTGCTCCTGTTTCCCCTTCCACCTTTTATCTGTCTGATCTATTTGGACTGCAGGCTGCCAGGCAGAGAAACAGTCTCTTATCATGTGTTTGTACAGTGCCCAGTACAAAGAGGCCTCAACCTGAGCTAGGATTTCTGAGCACTGCTGTAATACAAATAATAGTAGTAATGCTGTAAGGCTACATCTAGACTACAGGCCTCTTTCAAAAGAGAGCATCTAGACAGCAACCAGTATTTTCGAAAAAGAGAGCCACTTTTTCGAAAGAGAGCACCCAGGCAGTCTGGATGTTCTCTTTCAAAAAAGCACTGTTTGCGTTCAATAATACCTTTTTTCGAAAGAGCACTTTTGAAAAAAGGTGTTATTCCTCGTAAAAAGAGTTTTTCCGTGCTCAAAAAAACCTGCCGCATTCTTTCAATTTAATTTTGAAAGAACGCGGTAGCAGTCTAGACACAGGTGAAGTTCTTTCAAAAAAAGGCCACTTATTTCCAAAAGACCTTGTTGTCTAGACACACCCTAGGTGACTAAACAATGGGTAGAATAGTTTTGAGAAGGTGACAGCATTGTTTTAACGTAGGAACAAGCAAATATAACATCAAAAATGGCCTCTTTCTGCATATAAACCTATTACAGTTGCACAAGTAAGTTCTCGTTGCGCACACAAATATAATTTTGTGTGTATAAATGAATGAATGTGCAGAATCAGAGGCAGGGTCCTAACTGGCTAAGTATATGGACCACCATGTTCACACTCTCCCAAGTAATATGCCAGTTACACTTATATACATTATATGCAATGTTTATTATAAATATCATAGAGAAGGTATATGCTTTAATATTCAGTTGGAGTATATATAGCACATTTACTCCAGAGCTCCAGCCAAATAAACTGGATTTACTGAATAGGAAGTTAAACAGCTTAAAGAAATCCCCAGGACAAATATTTAAAGCAGCAACCTCTCATCCTTTCAGTAGAAACTATCAGGGAAACTATCCAATATAAAATCATCAGCATCATTATAGAACAAATCAGTCTCTTCATTGCCTCTAAACATTTTATATACACAGTTGAACAAATAGTTATGTTATCTATTCTAACAATCATTATACAGTGCCTGGCTTGTAGTAAAAAATCCTTCTGTAGGGGTGGTAAAATCCATCAGCACTACAGTGCAATCCAAGGACCGTGAACAAATTAGCTATTGTGAACCAAGCATATCCTAATTTTAAAAAAAGCCAAACACACAGAGTTTAAAAGGCTTCTAGGTAGGCCTACCATTGCACCTGTCTCCAATATAACAAGGCTAGTACTGATATCACAAAACTACATAGGCAGCATTTTCATCACTTGAGTCATCTTGTTCACTGCATGAAAGGACTACAGGCAATGTGCCACATGCCTTGATTATATGACTGCCAACTTCCTTCTTGAACTTTAGAATGCCATATGCTTCCAGTGATTCATTTAAAAAATGAATATGAAGAAGAATGCTGGGTAAAACTGGAATGGACAACGTGAGGGATCAGCAAGACAATCACAATCCCAAAGGTTGAGAGGCTAGTGAAGATTAGGCTATGTATCTATCTGGCTGGATGATTTATAGATTAAGACACGTCATTAATTTTCCAACTCTCGCACGCCAAGATGGTTTTACAAACAAGATAACATCTAGTTAAGAGATGGCTCGATACATATCAGGAGTTTACTTGTGAGTGGCTTTTGTTTGTTTTGGCTTTTGGAAGAAGAGGGTTGTATATCATCATTTTGAATCACACTTTGCAAACAGACACAAAATCTTCAGGCCATACTCCCCAAAATGCAAGTTCACACTGTTATTATTTTGATTACTTTATTTTATTTCACACAGGAATTGGTATTTTGTAATGTTTCTATGGAATGTTATTTTGAATAATAATGAATGAGAAGCTGTGCTTTTTATTAGAGAGTTAGAAGTAATAAACATATTCTTTTGTAGACTATTACTGGAATTCCAAAAACAGATTCTCACTTCTAAACACTACCACCAGCACCAACCAGACATAAGAAATAATTAGTGAGTTCTTAGTAACAGGAGCATTAATTTAGAAATGTCAATAATGCTATTTTTACATAAAATAGGAAAGTTAAGTAAATATTTGCTATTAGGAACATTAATATGTAGTTGCCAACCCATCATTATAAAGGTATTTGTAGCTTTTTTGTTAAATCAGCACACTCGCATTTAAGTAGGCACATTCACTCAGGGTCTAACACAGATCCCATTGAAGTCAATGGAAAGACTTCCACTGATTTGGGCATTGTGGATCAGGCCCCTGGAAACTATACCAAACGCATTTTATAAATGAACATACAAATGAATATGCGATAATAAAACAAAACAAACAAACAAACAAAAAGATGTATCTAGCTGCACAGCAGTTTCCATGTTAATTACTCTTACAGGAAAACAAGCACAGGATATGATTACACTGCAATTAGATGTCTGTGCAAGCTATTTCAGGCTTGGACTCTGGGGACTCAGGCTAAAAGGCTGTTTAATTGAGGTGTAGACATTAATGCTAGGCTACAGCTTAAGCTTTGGGACCCTCCCATCACACAGAGTCCTAAAGCAAGGACTCCACCCCAAATCTAAACATCTACACCATAATTAAATAACCCTTTAGCCCAAGCCCAACAGATGTCTAACTGCAGACATACCCTGTGAGAGCAACATAGCTGTCATTTAAAATTCACATTTTATTGGTCTTTGAGTCACAGAGGGAAAAGTGCAAAGCAATTACCTATCTAGGTAGCAAGAACAACTTCTCGCTAGGAGTAAGTAATGGTTAGTCACTCTTTTAAACTGTACCTGTCTCTGTTATAACCTGCTGTATAAGCTGACAACTCACTCAGCATAGTTGAGTACAGAAAATAAAGACAGCCTTTGCTCTGAAGAGCTTAAATCTAAAAGATACAGATGGAAGAGCACAACTGGGAACTCCAGTTGTGGAGATGGTTTGATGCAAGTGGTGTCTACACATCCCTTTCATTTGTTTTCCTTCCTCATGGCAGGGCAGAGAAGGGTCCAATCTTTTATTTGTCCTGGGAGCACCTATCTATGTATGCTTTGGCGACTGTACAAAAATATCATCACCATCATATTCAAAAGAGTGTCAGCACTAAAAGCCATTTACAGGACAGTTCTTTATAGATTTCCCTTACATCTCTGTTTCACTCTCTTTATTAATAGTTCTTTCAATATATAACCCACTGATACTGAAAAAATGTGGGGGCTCCCTTTGCAAGTCCAATTCTCTATTGCTTTAATTAAAATAATCCTTTTTATACAGAAATATGCCTAGAGAAAAATGTTTAAAATGTGAGAATAATTTTCCTACCTTCACTAAATAAGCTTGGCAGTCACTGACGAAATCATATTCCAACCCATCAAAAGAGTAATAATGTCGATCCCCGTAAACTGTACACACAGCAGGACAAGGATAACTAGTGCATGTGAATATCCTGCGCCGGCAAACACTGTGAGGAAAAAGTAATATAGTCCATAATGTCTCCGAAAAAAGGCTATTTTCTTTTCAAAGCCTCCTTTCTTTTCAAATAAGTTTTTTTTATTAAACTCTTTATTTTGACTTGTGAAAAAAAATCAAGGGAAAAACTTGCATACCCATGGTACCACAGAACTGTGCTGCATGCTGCCCTGGGAATGTGAGCTTGTCAATGCTGCAAAAGTGGCAAAAGGGTGGCCTTAAACCCACATAATTGATAAAGAGGTGCAGAAAAAGAACAAGAAAATCCTACCGATTCCATGGCACATGAAAGTATTCCCACTGCCTCCTCGGGGCTGGATAGAAAATTCCAGCACCCCTAAACAGTGCCTAAACAAGAGTCTTACAATACTAAAACTTTCTGTTCTTGATTCATTCTGATATATTCATTAGAGAGAATCTACATTTGTTCAATACAGATTGCACCTCCCTAAACCAGGATTCTGTCTTCCAGCAACATCCGTGATCCAGCTGGACCAGGGATGTTGCTGAACAAGAGAGCCCTGGGACAGGAGGGCCAGCAGCTGAAAGCTCGGGACAAGGCAAAGCTGGTGGTAGCAGAATCGGGCATCAGCTGCCCGGCGGCAGTAGTGGGGCCAAGGTAGCGGGGCAGAAGCAGCCCGGCAACTCAGCTGGCGCCGGGGCAGCCCAGGCAGCTGAGGTTGTGCTGCAGCAACCCAATGGGGGCTACCTGCCGGCCTGGCAGTGGGGACAGCAGTGGCTGCCTGGTCAGCCCCGTTTGGGGCTGTGGCAACAGACCTGGGAGTGCAGCCACCCAGCTGGGGTCGGGGCAGCTCGTGAGTGCTGGCCTGGCAGTGGGGACAGAGCTGTGACAGCACTGCGGGGGAAGCCTCTCTGGGGCCATGGCTGCGGTTCCAAGGCTGCGGCAACCCAACTGGGCTGTGGCAGGTTGGCAACCTGATAGGGGTCACGTACTGGCTGGCAGCGGGGCCAGGGTTGCATGCTGCAGTGCTGGCTGCTGTGCTGGCTGGAGAAGCAGCTATGACAGTGGAGACAGAGCAGCTGTATTGCCCAGGTAGCAGCGAGGCCGGTGGCAGGGGATCTTCCCTGGTTCAGCAAATTCCCTCATCTGGGACCACTCAGGTCCTGAGGGGTCTGGACTAGGGAAGTCCAACCTGTATCAGGAGCACCCCTATTACTATCAATGGGATTTCCTTGTGCCAAACAAGCCCCAAATTTGCTTACATTTGGAGGACCACATTTTGCTGTTGGTTATATGAAGTGACTTAAATGGTGTTGCCTTCATGTAAATGACCGTAAAATTTCCAGAGCCTCAGTTATGCATGTTTAATTAATTTTATGATCTCATACATTTTGCTAGTAACATTTTCACAGTGTCACTAATTTGTATGTGCAAGCTGGCTACAAAGGAAGTGCAGACAGGCACCCCTCCCAATTATATTTTTTCCACATATGAGGCCAGGCTGAAGACATGTGAAAGGAATCCAGGTTCTATCTTCCCAATTTTAAAATAATTTGAATGCTGTTTAGCTATTGCTTTCTTCCTTTCCTTTCCTTTCCTTTCCTTTCCTTTCCTTTCCTTTCCTTTCCTTTCCTTTCCTTTCCTTTCCTTCTCTTTGTGAGCTGTTTATATCATGGCTTTGGCTAATGGGTAGATTATCATATTCTCACTCATACTAAGTAGTAGTTTACCCTGCATATAGCCCCAAGCCTTATTGGAGAATAGCACGTAAGTTGTATCCTGAGCTACCAAATGACCAGCTTCCTCACCCATAATTTTACATTCAACTTTTCTCCTGTATTCTTCTTCAGTTTCTCTTTCTTGATATTTCTTTTCCCGTACCATGATGTTTTTTAATGTAGTTAAAAAAATTGCAATATTAAGTATAAAAGTTCACTTTATTGTTAGGCAGTAATGTTTTGGAAATATGTAAAACATAATAGTAGTTTCTTACCAGGTATAGCAAGGTGTAGATATCACTTCTCCAGACAAATATTCCCAATCTTTCCAGGTACATGGACAACTATCAGGAACATAACATTTCCCTTTATGCTCTGCCATCCTTAAAAATAGAAGATAAAACACAATTTGGCCTGTATTTATTTTCTCAATATGAGATAATTTCATGATATTATTGTTTAAAGTGAAAATCCAACTATTCAAGCTTAAGCTAACCACCTAAAGCACAGGTTTTCAGCTGTGGTCAATAGAACATTGCTGGTCGCTGGAGAAGCTACTGGTGACCATGGTCCAGAGAACTGCTTAGTCACATTGCACTGCCTTCTTACCTCCAGCTGCTCAGCTACATTATACTACATGCTTTCCTGATATTATGCTCTAGGGAAGCAATTGTTGTAGCTGCCGTTGTGGCTGAGTGGGGAAGTAGTCTATGTAAATGCAAACAGATGCCATCCATATTACAAATAAGTTTGAAGATCCTTCCCTTAAAAGCTAAAGCAAAGTTCACAGTAATGTTTTCTGTATCATCATCAGCATTAAGGATGAGTATGTATTTTTTTTCCAATGACTTAATAAGACACAACAAGTATTGAGGTACCCAACTCAGGACTGTGATTTGCCCTTTTATCCCCTGACTCCAATAAGAGGGAATCTTACTTGTACTTAACTCTCTGACACCACCAGACTGTTAGTCACTCAACCATTCTCCTTTGGGCTTTTCCAGTCCTTACTTTGCCTTACATGTTAAAAGGTGCACCCCAGTCACCCAGTCCTTTTGAAACAATCTCCTGTGATATCGAACCCGACACTTGATACCACAGCCGCCCAGTCCATAGGACAGTTCAGAACGGCCATCCTAGACCCCATGCTTTGGGGTCCTCCACAGCAGCTACCTTAACCATCCTATGGACAGACCCCTGGATGGCCAGCAATTACCTGGAGGGTAAGAGGCATAAGGATCTTGCGCAAAAAGGGGGTTTTGCGCAAAACGGAAATGTCCACACTGCTTCTTTTTGCACAAAAACCCCTCACGCAAAAAGAGATTGGAAGAGATTATGCAAATGAAGTGCGAGAAAATGCTAATCAGCAATTCATTTGCATTGCCTTTTCTGGAAAACCCCGTAGTGCAGACATAGCCTGAGGTAGTACTACATTTTATTCAGACCATCCCTGACATATGTTTGGAGATTTTTATAAACAGGCTAGACAATGATGGAAATTCCACAATCTCTCTTGGTAATTTGTTCTAGTGCATAACTACTGTTGCAGTTAGGAAATTTTTCCTAATGTTCTTGCTGCAACTTAAGTCCATTACATCTACTCCTGTTGTAAGATGTTAAGGAGGACAATTTATCACCCTCTTCTTTTTAACAACCTTTTAAATATCTGAAGACTGTTCTTAAATCTCTTCTCAGTCTTTTCTTCTCCAGACTAAACAAACTCAATTTCTTCGATCTTCCCTGATAGTCAAGTTTTCCAGACCTTAAATCAATTTTGTGATTTTCTTCTAGACTTTCTCCAACGTGTCCACAACTTTCCCAAAGTGTGGTACTCAGAAATGGACACAATAATCCAGCTGAGGTCTTAGCAGTGGCTCGTAGAGTGGAAGATTTACTTCCTATTTACAACCCTCCTGCTAATACAGTCCATAAGATGTGCACTTCTGTTGCAACAGCATTACATTGTTGACTCCTATATAATTTGTAATCCACTATAACTTCCTGCCTTCTGCAGCCCCAGGCCACTCAAAGTGACTGGCTGCACCATGTACCTCTCTGTGCCATTCACCCCAAGCACAATCTCTCAGCACCCATTGGCCAGAAACAGCCAATGAAAACTGAGAGATTGTTCTGGGGGCAGGGGCAGTGCATGAAGCAGAGAGGCACATGGAACAGGCAGCTGCTTGGAGCAGCTTGGGGCTTCTCCCTCCCTGAGGGTCCCCATGTGGCTGGCTGTGGGCCAAATTCAAAGGATTAGCAGGCTAGATCTTGCCCGCCCATGGCCCATGGTCATTGTCTCCCAAAGGGAAGAAGAACCACAGGTTCCAAGCCCACTAGGCTACACACAGTTGATGCACATGATCCTGTAGCCTAAGACCGGATCCAAGATTGGGAACACTGTAGGATTCTGTGCAGAGGAGGTAAGTCACGAAGCCTAAATCCTATGGAGGGTGCACTCACAAAGACAAGAGAAAGGGTTAGTGAACAGCTGGCCTGGTAACTATGACAATCAATACCTTATATCTCAGAAAAAAAGGCAGCATGATAGATTCAAATGTTTGCAAGCAAATCAGAAGATGGACATTTATGAATTGTACTGTCTGAAGAAAAGAGAAGACAGTTTGCAGGGGGTCCTCGTGAAGGAAAAAGTATTCCTGTCCCCCTGGCTCTACAAAACACTCTGGCTTACACTTACCCTGGGGGGCAGATACAGCCACTTGCACAGGGTGGTGATGGCACACATGTGAAGTTCATGGCAAGGTTTGCACAGGAAATCTCACAGTTCACACCAGCTGCTGGTAAGCCAGGCACCGGATATCTGCAGTCATAGTAGATTTTTCCTTCAGGGCATGTGTGAACTTCAAATGTAAAATGCAAATTGAATGAGATCAGCAGCTCTTTTGCACTGAAGGTTTCTAATTATTTTAGTTCACAATTTACTTTTTAAAGGATTTTAATTAATAAAATATACCATATAAACTAAGTGCATTTTGTGAGTATTCAACTGAGTTAAAAGTGCAAAACTTTCATTTTTGTTAATATTTTATGTAATTATAGCATTAAAAATATCTACTAACTGTGGTCCAAAATTGCAAACTGAAGTGCCTAAAGTGAGGCAGCTAAATCAAGGCATGACCCACAGCCTATTACAGTCAATTACTAATCACTTCAGTGTGCTTTGGATCAGCCCTCAGTGAACTGGCTTGATTTTCAAAGGTGTTGAGCACTCACAAATTCCATCAGAAATCCAGCTCAAATTTCACCTGCTGTGCACTGCTGAAAATCAGATTTCTTCTTTTAGGTGCTTTAATATGGAATTTGCCCCCTAATTTTAGGCACCCAGGTTTGAACATTTTTGCATATATCTTATGAGAGGGGTGCTTTCAAAAATTCTTAAGTGATTTAGGAATACAAGTTACACTGAAAGTTGCTGTGCTTTATGCCAAAAAAAGTGATATTTAGCATCTGATGAAATGTATATGAATATAAAAAAGCAAATGAATAAATATAGCAAATATTTTTTCCTGTTAAACTGTAAAATAAGACAAGAATGTAAATTACCTGCCGTTGTAGCAGTTTCAGTGCATTTCATTGTTCCATTCAAACACTGGCTGGTATAAAGAAATAAATCATCTTTATTCCAGGAAAAAATAAATCACACAACTGCTGTGTATATAAGAAAATAACAATTATACAACATTCTAAAAACAGTACTTAATTTTATCATTTAAATCAAGAGGGAGATGATCATTAAACTCTAGAAATCTCAAATCTGTTCCATATTCTGTGTGTAACTTACTTATATTGATGCAGGAACTGGGTGCCTGAGGGTACTGGCGATGTGATATAGGCCTAGATTAATCAATGTGCACAGCATACACTCGCACAGGCCTCCATTTCAGGGAAACAAGAGGAGACAACTGTGTGTGCGGGGGGGGGAGGGCGGTGGAAGACAGTGGAACTAATCCACACAACAGTGCAACACCACTCACTCAAATTTGGCCCAGCCATTCTCCTGTCATGAGTGAGCCAAACCTCAGCAGCACTATGGCCTAATATGCTGAATCACACACCACTCATTGACATTTGGTATGGCCACCTTAGTGTCATAACAGAGGATCATGAAGCGGGTGGAACTGTGCAGCCAGGATCAAGAAGAGCTATTCTATCCCAGGATGGGAGTGGAGGTCTGAGCCAGAGGAAGGAAGGGGAACTTTGAGTGGCTAGGAAAATACCAAGGGGATGGGTGGGATTAGGTTGTTGGCTGGCTGTGGGGTGTGTGGGGACTGTTGTGGCAAGTATGGGACAATGGGGCATGGTGAGGCTGGGGTGAGTGGGAATAGTGCAGAGGTGGTGGGATGAGTTGTTTCTCTGAGTTTAAGAGCTCTTTTTATAATTTATTAAATCCAGTTTCTCTCAAGATTTCCTTTTCCAACATACAAAATAAATGTGGAGCAAATAGGAGCAAATAGGCCCTAATTCTGAATTTAAAAACCACACAGGAACAGGGGGGCTGCATATGTAATTCTTCTAGCAGAATCAGGGCCTGAGTAGTCAAAGATTAAACTCTTAATCCCAAAACCTACCAGGAGCCTGACTGTGTGGGCAGGATTTCTCCAGGCTGGAAGGCTCTGCCTTTGTAATAACAATGACAGCCTGATCTGTGAAAACAAAGCTTCTGCTTATTGGTATAAAAACCTATATGAAATAGGATATAAGGACATTTCATGCTTAAAATCCTAACAAAGAAAGATAAACATGCAGGTTAATTCTTTAATTGATCTGCTTATTTCTATTTATAGTGCAAGCTTAATGGAAGGTGAGACTTAAAGAGTGAAATCCTGGACCTGCTGAATCAAGTGGATTTTGCTATTGACTTCAATTTACCCTCATTCCCCGCAATGATCTTCAAATTACGTGTTTGCTTTTTCTGTGTATTGTAGCTGTAACCCACACACCTGCTGGGTATAGTGTTCCACCTAGTGGCACAGAGACCACTTACAGAGAGGAGTCTGCTCTACAGCCTAGCTGATAGCCAGCTGGCTTTTAGCTCATGTGGTAGAGGCTCATGTGCTAAGCTCCCAAGTTCCCAGGGTCAATTCTGCCCGCGTTATACAATCTCACAGAAAGCAGCTTTTCTTCCATGCTACAGGAGTAGCAAGTATGTCAGATGGAGCCTAATTTACAGAATGGTATTCCAAAAATGATAGGAACATAGGAATTGCCATACTGAATTTGAATTGGTGTAGTGTCCTGTCAGACAATGGCCAAAACCCAGAGGCTGTGTCTAGACTGGCAAGTTTTTCCACAAAATCATCTGCTTTTGCAGAAAAACTTGCCAGCTGTCTACACTGGCCACTTGAATTTCCACAAAAGCACTGAAGATCTCATGTAAGATCGTCAGTGCTTTTGCGGAAATACTATGCTGCTCCCGTTCGGGCAAAAGTCTTTTTCCAAAAAACTTTTGCGCAAAAGGGCCAGTGTAGACAGCAGAGATTTGTTTTCCATAAAAAAGCCCCGATCGCGAAAATGGCGATCGGGGCTTTTTTGCGGAAAAGGGCGTCTAGATTGGCCATGGACGCTTTTCCCCAAAAAGTGCTTTTGCGGAAAAGCGTCCTGCCAATCTAGACGCGCTTTTCCAAAAATGCTTTTAACGGAAAACTTTTCCGTTGAAAGCATTTCCGGAAAATCATGCCGGTGTAGACATAGCCAGACACTTTAGAAGACCATACAGTATAAGAAACCTGCAGAAGGCAGTTTTGAAATAATCAGCTTCCCACCTTGATTTTACTATGGTCTAAAAACGTGAAAAATGAGGTTTGATAGCCTTTCCAGAATTTTTATTGTTACTAATTTTAACATCATTTTAACATCCAAAAATCCTACTGCTTACATAGCTGCAGGCTCTGCAGTATAATGATTAAATAATGCAATGAAGCCTCTCCAGGAGGGGCCTGGCAAGGGCTGCCAGCCTCACTCCCAAAGGAGGTTTCACTGCCGCAGCGAAACCACCACACATAAAACAGGGCCAGTTCCTGGGGAGGCTTTGCTGTGGGCTCTGCAGCCAGCTCCCCGGGAGCAAGGTGAGCAGCCTCTGCAGGCTCCCCTCTAAGGGAACCAGCATGTAACCAGCAGCTGGGGGGCCGGGTCAGCCTGTCACAGACAGGGACTGCTCTGGCCCTCAAATGTGCATTACTTCGCATTTACTGACACTGAATCAGTAAATCACTTGTCTTGTTGGCCATCAGTCACCAATTACACTATCCTCAGCCAATAAATGGTACAGTAATCATGGCAGAGAAAGGGGAGCACAAAATGGGACACAAGAAAGAGTTCTATTTTAAAGGCTTGCTGCAAAGTTCCAGAAAGGATATATTGAGAACAATGTAATATGACTTACATTGGCACACAAAAGTTGATTGATTCTTCAAAGTATTTCCCATCAGGACAATTGCATCCTTCCGCACAGTCGTCATTACAGATATGCGGGGAAGAAAGGGAAGAACAGGAGTGCTTGCAAAAAGAAGAGCACTGATGATATAGCATACCACTTCGGCAAACGAGACCTAGGGAGGAAACAACATTGTCTTATGAGGTTGCAATATATACACGGAGATACATTCATGATAGTGTGAAATAACACTGTCCCAAATTACCACAGGTAAGCTGGATTTAGTCATGTGATTCTCAGCCAGACCTCAGCCCAACTCTGATTTCTAGTGTGTTAGAAATTTCTTGTTTTCACCATTTTGAAGCTTTACATGATTCAGTTCAGGATGACTTTTTGTTAAGAAAAACCCTTGAAGAAGTGTGTGTGTTCCAAAGTATATTCAATGTATTTGCAGTAACTCAAATTTCCAGGGGAGATAAACCTGATTCAGCAGGTAGGGGTATTAGCCAAGGATTTGGAAGACCTGGTTTCACATCTCTGCACTATCTTCCATATTACACTCTGACATCTTTCCCCTCCTCCCAAGAAGTGACACCCTCAGCTGTGCAACTGCATGTACTCTGTAGTGTTTGAGTTCAAACATCCAAAAGCATGATTCTGGTTTCTGATGCAAAGCAAAGATTAGTTTTAGTTCAAAGAATGTCTGATCATTCCCTATTTCTAAAACTATTCTTCTTTTGAAAATGTTACTCACCACAGTATGAAACCTGAGATCTGAAATCAATAGCAATTCCATGCTTGCCACAGATATAGGCATAGTGTGCAAGTGCATTACACAAACAGCTGCTTCCACATTTACAGGCATCAAAACGGCACAGCTGGTAGTATAATCCTGGACTGATGTACGGATGACACGGAGCAAAAAGTTCTTGACTGATGATATCACAGTGGGAAGCATAGCCAACTAAGAGAAGGAAACATTTTTTTTTGGCAGTACCCATGATAATATATCAATCAAAAATAAATAGTAAAGGGTATATCAACAACATATCAATTCATACAATTGTACAATAAAAGCTTCTTTATAAAGTAGTTCCACAAAATACTGTTATTTGTAACAGACGTAAATATTTCAGCAATGAACTTTGCTTCAATAAAAATATGTAACTAAATGAAAATCCATATTTAGGTGAAAGAAACATATAAATGGAAACAGAATATATTTCAAGAGCATACGGAAAGTCATTGGGGGCTTTCAGTGGCCAAACTTTTCTTGGCATGCAGGCTGGACACTTGTTATAAATTGGAGCTTTAGAACACAATCGTCCCAAGACTACAGGCAGTCCCAGCAGACCAGGGAGATGCTGAGCAAAGCCGCAGAGAACCCGGGCTAGTGCGCCCCCCAGCAGACCAGGCTTTTCTCGGGACGCCTGTGGTAGAGCAGCTGGGGCGCTGCCGGTTGGTCCCGCAGCGCCGCTCTCAGCGCTACTGGACCAACCCGGCAGCACCCCAGCTGCTCTGCCCCAGGTGTCCTGATTCAGCCGCTGCTAGTCAGTTTCAGCAGCAGCTGGCTTGGGGAAGTCTGGTGCAGAGCAGCTGGGGTGCTGCTGGGTTGGTCCCACAGCACCGCCCCGCGCGCTACGGGACCAACCGGCAGCGCCCCAGCTGCTGTACCACAGGCGTCCG